CTCTGGCATCTATGTCTGCGCCAGTTCAATGACCGGACCAACTTCCCAGCAGTGTCCGACTGCCTACAACTACTTCCAGGATTCAGTGACCACGTTCGTACATTCAAAGCGTCCTTCGGCAAATGGCTTGGCTGATGACCTTCGTCAGCCGTGGGTGTCCAGTCTGCCGCGTTTTCCCTCTCAGCACCCAATGTCACAGGAACAGGTGCAGCATAGCCAGCAGGACAAGGAGGGTGACAGTACCGATGGTTTTAATGTCAATGGGGTTGAATTAAAGCACGTCACGTCGATGCAAGTGAATTCCAAAAACAAAACCCGCAGTCTTCCAAGAGACACCCTAGCCCCTGGTAGCAATAAACCACTCCTAGATCATGCTGCCGAACTTCAAGGCAGGAGACTGCGTGGGGAGATTGACAATATTTTCTTCCAGAACATGGTCTAGGTTGTTGACACAGCAAGTGTTCTTCCTCGCCCCTCCCCCCCAAATACAGGTCACTGTTGGAGCTGACCCAACTAGTCTTGTCAGCATCACGATTTCCCACATCCCTTTCTACCGAGTGCTCACGGCGAGAACAATGCTTAGCCAATACGCATTCCCTCAACTTTCAATCGTTTCTTCAGCATCTACACAAGTCTCTACCTAATTTTTTATGCAATCTGGTGTGCTATTCCTACACGCACTTCTCCCTACATCATGTCTATCAATTTTGTGGGTACGCAAACTCATTTTCCTGCTTGCATTTTTTTCTATATATTTCTTGTGTTGCAAAGACGTACATTTACTCGAAGAGGTTTGGACTATTTCCTGTTGAAAAGCACGAATGCTACGGATTGCTTAGCCGCATCAATGTACTTATGCACAAAGGTTCTACGGTGCCGCATATATTTTCTGTCAAACAAATAACATTTAGTAAGACCATAATGGTCATTTTTCGGTAACTTTTCTTTTAAATTGCATTCAACTGAGTAGAGACAGGGAATATTTGTAATTTCGAATTGTCCCCTGTAGCGCTATGGTCAAAAGGAATGTTCCATAACTGAACGCGGATCAATATTTACCTCGTTCTAGACGATAGTCAAGCTCAGAGCAAGCAGAGACGCACTTGACGTAAAAGCACTTAATGCCTCTGGATTCAGGACTGGAAAGGATTCACGAGTTAAATCTGAATATAACCCTTTGTAACCCGTCCGAAAATTCGGAGATTTTATGTCCCTATTGTTTTTAGCATGTTATTCGATAATGCTTAAGACTGATGGAGGGGAGGATCCTAGTTTATGGTTACCCTTCTCAGAATGTCCGCTCTCATGGAAGTAAGGCCTCGCGGAATCAATATGACAAAAACTGTGGTAGTAAGCTCGAGGTATCAGGAAGTGCAAGCTCCCCGTAATCTCAACATGCTCCTTGGGCACATGTGAGTTGTATGCGAGGACAGTAGGCCACACATACAAGTGGGGGCGTTTTTGCGAAAGAGAGCAGTAAGAGCAGGTTTGGGTCAATTAGCTTTAAGGAAAAAACGTTTTCCTGAGAACTCCGATGTCTGAATAAGAGAAAGTCACAAAATCCTACCTATACTCGTAACGTAGATAAAGGTTTTATTATAGGAATGTTGACTCATTTTTAGCATGAGAGACGGGTGAACAAGGGGACAATCGCAAACTATGCTAAGCAAAGAGACATCCAGAGTTGACAAATACATAACATTTTACCGCACATAAGACTTCAACAACTTCAACGCCTTGTGAAACAATTCCAGCTCACGGGAATGCGGACTTACCTCAGCAGTTAACTGAGGGAACAAGCCCAAATACGCGCTTCTGTGCAAGTTACTGATGCCAACTGGTTGACCTGCTTCTTTTTTCTGCCCTGGATTCACACCTAGACTTTTGTATTGAACATTTCTTTCAAATAGTGATTTTTTGTTAAAATGTGTAAACGAAAATTCTGCTGTTAATACTATCGGGTTCATAGACATCAATGATGTCGTTGTGGGCACAGTGCATTATTTTATGGCTTCTTGCATACGCATACGGATCAAAAACCTTTTTGGGAGACACAAGGAACTTTCGTTATGTTACCGATAAAAAACGGAAAAATTGTGTCGGCAAGACAATAGGATTTAGTCCGTTGCCTTTTTTACATTCCAAATAAGATGTCAAGAGTACATTTTCCACCGTATATGCAAAAACGGACCTTCACCAATAGGGATTTATCTGGAGAGCGTGTTTATTATCCAACGTTCCGAATAGCAGTGCCGGCTATTGGGCCTCAAGGTCTGGTGCGTCCTCTGCGCAGCTAATATTAGAACTCACACTTCACACTCTCCGCCGTATCTGAAGCATGGTAAGCAACTGCCGACTGTGAGGATTCGTGCATTCCGATTGGATGATGGACTACACGTGACGCATTCTTACCCTGGCTTGGGAGTTGGGACTCCAATACTACCTGTTAATCATCCATGCGTGCTGTGCATTCGTATGGGAGCCTCCTCATCATTTATTAAAAAAATTGCGTCAAAATTCCGGCGTCTTCTGAAGACAGACTGAAACAAATAGTTCAGAAGAAGATGTGATCACTGAGACAAGACTTTTATTCGCCTGCTATTTCCAAGTTCATCGCGAATGCTTCATCAGAGACATGAACATAAACAGTAGCAGAAATTGGTGTTTAATGGACTGGGAGTTGCAGTATTTAAAGGATACAGTCACTTTGATACTGTACACCTAGGACAATTAACGACTCCCCTGTCGAGGATAATAACCCGCTTGTGAGCTAATCGCTTGATGACCGGTGTGCTGGCCGCAACCTGCCGAACTTTCATAATATATTGTAGAATTGGACGTGATACTTGCTCGGCCATCTGGTTTCCGGCGTTGGTGTTAGATGACGCGTTGGCCTATGCGTTCCCCGAGTGTTGACTTGCTTTGGCCAAATTGAGCCTCAGCAAGGAATATTGATTTGGCAGGTTGTTGCACTTGTTTATAGATTGGGGGCCCGTGAAACGCGATTCACGTAACTCGCGACTCGCACAATTTTCACCTCTCGCTAGAAGTTCGGCCTCATCAAATTATTATGGTTGGCGGGCTCTCGTCGAATAAGTCGCACTGCTGCCGCGTGTTCGGCAATTCGCGTCTTGAGAAGTCTTTCGGCTTCTCCGAAATAGTTTCTTTGTCCACAACTGCACTAGATCCTATGGTCGACTCCAGATGTTTCATGCCGTGCCAGAGAGTCTTCTGATGTAATTATCTGACACCTTACGGTTGCCTCCGGCCTATGTGCGACTCCAACTCCAAGTGGTGCGAGAAGGCGGCCGATGGCCTCCAATATGTTTTTGCCGTACGGGATCGCTCACCAAAATATGGCGTCGGTGCGGTTTGTCGCACATCTCATTTGCGCATGCACCGGTTGACGAAGTTGTGCGAGTAGCTATTTTCTCTGAACACCCATCGAAAATATTTTATTTCGACAACTTTGTCTTCTAGTTCACTGCAGTGCGTCTCAACATGCCGATAAAGCTTCCTTACGCGACTGCGTTCGTGACTGATTGGGTGGTTGCTGTTGAAGCGCAGTACCTGCATCGTGTTTGTTTCTTTCCTCAACACTTTGGTCTTTAGGCCGTCGCAATCTTTGCGGCAGACGAGGACATCAAGGAAGGCCAACTTTTTATTTTCCTTCTCCTCCATTGTTCATTGTATGTCCGGGAAGACGCTGTTGAGAATTTCGGTCTCTGGTGTTGGAAGACCAGCGAGTCTAAGTGTTGTTGAACCGCCTCGGCTATAAGTCGCGAAGTCAGTGAACCCATTGGTGCTCCCTTCACCTGCTCGTAGACTGTCCCGCCAAGCCTGCAGTACGTCCTGGGACACAACTCCAAGAGAAATGGGATTTGGGCATGTCCTTAGCGGTTCTCCGTCTCACTGTATTTGCTTCGTAGGAGTAGCTCGACACTCTCAACTGCCAGATCCTGGGGGATAGAAGTAAAAAGGGAAGTGACATCGAAGGAAACCATGCTATCACTTTGCAGGAGACTTACCTCTTTAAGTTTCTCCAAGAACTGTGTTGATGAACGGACCCTGGTGTCAGAATCAGCGGTCAGAAATTTGAGACTTCGAAACAGCCACTTGGTCAGTCCGTACGTTGGACTGCCTTTCAGTGATACCATTTTTCGGAGAGGAGCGTCGTCCTTGGGGAAGCCATAGAAGTGGACAAAGGCCGTCTCTTGAGCTCTCATCATGCGTCCGTCAGACGTCGTTATCGCACCCAAGTTATCTAATGCCAACAGAGTCAAATAAATTTAGCGTTTAGCCTTTTGAGGGGGTTGGTTCCGCATGGAATCTAAAACTCCAGTAAGCTTTTGGCTTTCCGAAGGTAGTTTGTTCTGTCCAATAGGACGGTGGAACGCCCCTTGTCGGTTAGCCTCAAGTGCTCTTATTGCAACGTGTTCGACCCTGGGGAGCAATTTGCGTGATCGATGAGCCATAAGGAGGAACGATACCTCGTTTGGGATAAGTTTCTTCGTCTCCTCCAGCGCTTTCGTCTGATAAATGACATATTTTACAGCTGCAATCATATAAGTAGGTTTAACACTAGCTTTCTTGAATGAGGCTTCATGTTGAGGAAGCTGTTTTTGCTCCTTCTTCAGCTTTTTCGACGATACGTTCTGTATCAGTGTGTCGCTTCTTGATGACGTTGATTTATGCACTGTCGAAATTTGTTCTCCAGTGTTGCTTCGTGAATCGCTTGCTATTTGCGGGCTCGTTCAGTCACCCTCTGCTGAAGCAGTTTTGTGCTGTCTTCGCACATGAACTCACAGCACCTGGTCTTCTTTTACTCAGTTATCTGCCGGCATTTGCGCAGCCTCGAGTGGCACGGTCCGCACGCTGGTCAGCAAGCAGTCAATTATCCTCGATAGGTGAGTCGTTAATTGTCATAAGGTGCAGTATCAGAGTGACTATCACATAAATACTCGAGCTCCCCGTACATGAATTACTCATTTCTAGTATGCTTTCTGCTAATGCCTCAGATGAAGAATCTGCGACGGACCTCGAAATGTTGTGTCCCAGCGATCGAATCATCTGGTTTTTCTCAATTACTTCTTAGGACTCGAATATTCGATTGTATTGGACTAAACAGTCACCGCATAAAATTGCATGACAGGGAAAATGCTGTACCACAAAACCCTCCACCATAAAAACGCAAGTCGCACATTATTGTGACATGGTGACTTTTATAATTAGCATTTTCCAACCAAACCAAACCAGCCAGAAGCATATAATAGCCCTGCGTAACTAAGAGAAACTAGGTTAAACTGTGCATTCTGTCAGTTCCTATTAACATGCCCTTTTTCAACACTGCCATGGTTGTCTTGCCTGTGTGAATAAGCTAGACGAAATGTAGTCTAACCAGATGTCTGACTGGAATTATCTTATCGGTAGTCGAACTCGCGCGCGCGACAAAAAGAGAGTTAAATCGACGCATGCCACGCGTTAGTAGGATTACGCTGACTATGCATGAGGTCACACTTACCCCCATACATACATGCATGCTTTAAAGGAAGACGGTGGTGACGTTGCCCACCATGCCCAACTCATTACTGATCACCCAAATGATGAAGACATGAAGCGAATGTGATATGACAGAAACATTTTCCCTAGCATTTCAGATCGTTTATCATAATAAATCTGCAAAGTAGGTGAACCTGTGACAACTGGAGCCGTAGGTGTACCAGCCCGAGCCTTCGGCATCGCCCAGGAGACAAATATCAGAAACTGTGCGAATTGAACAAAAATTGAGCAATTTTTGTAGATAAACAAACAGGGTGAGGTGGTTTTCACGACAAGTCTGGGTCCACATTACCTAAGGGCATGATGTAAGCGTGCGTCTTTCGCTGAGAACCGGGTCACGCCTGTTGACCGCGTGGGCGTAGCGCATGACAGCTGAGGGGTTATCAATGTGTCTCTTGATAGACTTGTTGTCACACACCGAGGTCACCAATCGGTGTTCCTTTTATCTGCTCGCAGGTTCTGCTACTGACAGTGAAGAGGTTTGTTGGCAGAAAACAAAGAGCTACAGTAATTGCTCACTTTTAGATGTTCTCTCACTTCGGTTTACTTCTCTACGAGTCATTTATGTAGAACCTTTTATGTCAAGTCCGTTCCGATAGAGGTGCGTACTGAAGCCACGTCAATTGATTGCATAATTTGACTAGGTCAGAGGTTTTTCCTCGGATGTTAATGAGGATTTGAAAGGTCGGTTTGATGGAAGTTCTTGAATTATCTAGGAGAAAGTCTTGCTTTCGTGTAAGCCACTTGATTAGACTGTAAGTACGGCTGCATTTTCACATAATGGCTGGTCAAAGGGGAACGTTCAGCCTTCGGCTTTGGGTAATTTGCAGCCCCGAGCCAGTGCTATATCAATTGGCTTTGTCTGTCAATATTCGTCTAGCGAAACCGTATGGTTCTTCGAAAGAAGAGTCTGGTTCGTTGACCCATGTTAAGCTTGGTCTGTGATAAATGTGCAGATCTGTATACATGTTAGTCATCCAGGAGGATCTATGCCTTATCGTCATACTCGACGCGATTAATCACAAGGGTTTCTCGTCTTTTATCAGATGATAACACTATCATATCCTTGTTCATTTTTTAATTCTCAATTGCTTATATTTTCGTGAGTGACATCTTATTGATAAGTCTATTCGCAATCAGTAGGGACTTGAATTTCTTGCGCATTCCGTGCTTCGCCTTAGTGGTGAGTGGCTTAAAGTGTAAATGTAAATTCGATGGGTTTAGTATCCACCGAACTGATATGACATGCTAGAAACTGTGGCCCGATCTCAGGTTTATATTTGTATTCTACCTTTGAGAGTCAAAACGTAATGACGCTTCCTTAACGTGCTCTTCCCAACACCTCCTAAATGAACCGAGGTTGGTGTGAAATTGAATTTAATGATAAGTATTACAAGCCAGTGAAGAGCACCCCAATGGGTTCAATGATATTGGGGCTACTCGCCGAAATAGTTTTACAACGACTAGAAAAAGTCATGTTTCAAACTCTCAGACCAAAAGGATGGCTTCGCTGCGTGTAAAATAACTTCGTTGTCATAGAAAAACTGCGAAGTGGAGCGATTGCATCGAAGTCTTAATGTCGTTTTCCCGGCATAAAATTTACTCCCGAAGGAGCAACAGAAGACATTCTCCTGTTTTTCGGCGTCAGGATGGAAAGATTGAGTGATGGTAATCACAAAAACAGCGTCCACAGGAAGGACTCTAATACCGAAATAATCCTCAGTTATAGGAGCAACCATCCTGCAGCCCACAAAATAAGCTGCGTTCGAACAATTTTTGACCGCGCCTTCCGGTACTATAGCAGCGACAGTCTACTTAATAGAGATTTTGCTTACTTACCAATTATTCCGATCAAACAAATATTCGACAAGTTTCGGGAAAAACTGCCTCCGGCGTCAGATGATCGGAGCTCTAACGGAGACGCGGTGCAATGTAAATTCCGCTCATTACCCTCAAAACAAGGACTTTCTGAAGTGACCACCCGACACTGCATCGCTCACAAGCCGGCATCCTTCCTGAGAGCAGCTCTGTCTCACGTTAAAGACTAATTACTAAAAGAGCACCACAGCAATGTCACTGACCGCGATCCGTGTGCTAATTGTCCTAGTGTCTAAATAGGCCATATGGGTTGGAGACTCGGGACTAACATAAATGAACACAAGCTGGCCATCCGAAGACGCGATCCAGTGTCACTTTTGTTTGCGCACGCTATTGATTGTGAGTACCGTTTCAATTGGAAAGGAACTGATGTGGTCACCACGGCTAACACAAAACAGGCACGAGCATTTCACGAAACTTGGCACTCTGGCATATATATCATCAACAGGCACGTGGATTTCGATTCACAGTACGAAGGTTTGCGCGCATGATCCACTAACTTGCGTCTGGCATGAAAAAACAACTGTCTATCCATATTCAGCCAAGTATAACTTCACTGATTCTGTATCCTCCTGCACATGTGGCCCACATTCTAGACGTTCACACCTCCTCTCACTGCAGAACGTATCGCAGCACAATTCGCTTCACCTTAACGCCCCACTCACACCCCCTGTTCGACGCAACTCCTACTCCAAACCCTTTACTGCGATAATCCCAGTCTCCACTTCTCATTTAGTCTGACGACGGTAGCGGTGTTACGTGCTTGACACTTCACGAGTAAATCTTGATTTTCCAACGGGCCTTTTTCTTTATTTATCATTTCGGAATGCATACTACGTCAGTTATTCAACATTCTGATAAAATAAGCCTGCTCGAATTTATCAAACGAAGCTAAGAATCGTGGCTTGGAAAGGTGCCATTATATAAGTAAACATTGTTCCCTTTGGAGTATCTTGGAGTGAATTGACGTCTAGGTCAGTCTTCAATGCACATTCCTTACTGAGACGTCTAAGACATTCTCATGAATACGTGATGTGAATTGTCCCTACAGAAAACCGCTATATACAATGAAGACCAAGCCATGTATGACGAATAACACGACTGCTCTAGTTATTACAAGCATACTACGGAAGTTACTAAGAAGAAGTAGCCACGATCGCCGAAACAAGAACTGTATGTGCCTGTCGATTTAGATTCATTCCGGAAACAATGTACAGAGACACCATTAGATACGAGTACGTTTTGTAACCCACGCATACGCGGACGAGAAGAGAGGCCTACTCGCGTAAATTAACCACAAGCCATTAACTTAATCCAAAAGTATCAAGCAGGGGCTCAACTCAAAAGCTTCTTAATGGGGATTTTACGTAGCAAATTATAGTTCGATGCGTGGCTCTGATTAGCTGACTACGTAATTGCCTTGCTAGCTCATGTGCCAGCGTCAGGTAATTTGAAGGACAAAATAGGCTTTTGGACGATATCGATATAACGGCATCCAAGTGGATACTTAGCAGTTCACGACTTCAATACTTAACGTCATAGGTGTTCATGTAAATCATGCAAAATGCTCAAATTTACGTTATCTTCGTAATCCCTCGCGCAGCGGAATTAACATATGAACGAAAACCCTTGGATAATAATAATGAGCCTTAAGCAAATGCAAGCCTTGAAAGAAAGATAAAAAATACTATCTGTTTGTTTAGAAATATCAATATCTGTATACTTAATAAAAGCGGTGACTGTCTCTGTGTGTGTCTCCATT